AGTACGAGCAGAAGATGAAGACGATCCGTCAAATACACCGGGCGGGAGCAGTATGGGCAGAAGGTCAAGATCTGCACATGTGGACATTTCACATGGACAACGGGGCTAGATTCGGAATCGCAACTACCAACCATGGGGAGAGCATAAATGGAGTCTACAAGGGCATTAGGGCAATGCCTGTATCTGTCCTAGTGGAGATGACATACTGGAAGGTAAACGAGTGGTTTGTGAAGAGACGGGATGCTGCTATAGGGAGGGAGCGTGCTGGTCATTCAATAGCTAAGCATATATTTGATGGCATGCAGAAGATCGAAGAGAAATCAAGTAAGCACAGAGTTGTTCTGTTCAACCGCAATGAAGGTATTTTTGCTGTGCAAACAGGTATCTGGGGTGGAGGAAGACGTGGGCATAATCGTCAATCCGTTACTCTACACGTAGAAACTCGCACCGGAGAGTGTACATGCCAAAAGTATCAAAACATAAGAGTACCTTGTTCACATGCAATGGCAGTAGCTAAGTCGATAACCCTCAGCGCTTACAGTTTGGTTAGTCCTTACTACACGGAACAGGCGATCAGGAACTCCTACTCGTCAAGTTTTAGCCCCCTGCCGGATGAAGCTTATTGGCCTGTAGACAATGGGAAGTTGATTATCCCACCGTTACACTTAAAGCGCACCAAAGGTCGTCCTAGGACCGAAAGGATTCACAATGAAATGGACCAATCACAACGTGCCCGACGGGGTCCAAAGCGTTGCTCAAAGTGCAGACAACCGGGTCATGACAAGAGGCGTTGCCCAGGTCCACCTCTAGAGCAAGATTCGGCGCCAATTCCGAACCAACCTTGATGTTGTTGTTGTTCACTTCCTTGTTTTAATCTTGTTGAGTAGTTTTCGTTGTTGTGATGTTTAATTTGGACTTCTTGTTTTAATCTTGTTGAGTGATTGTAATAAAGGGCGTTTGTTGTTCATTTTGTTACAACATGGGGGTAAAAACCAACCAAATTTAGCCGACATAGATAGTTAATGGAAAACAACACAATCCGATTGCCAAATTTAGAAATATAGATAGTTCATGGAAAACAACACAAGACCCAAACCAAATTTAGACGACATGGATAGTTCATGGAAAACAAAAAAAGATGAAACTAAATTAGAACGACATAGATAGTTCACTGGTTGTCTTCATTTCCCTCCACTTCCCCTTCTCTTCCTCTTCCTCTTCCTCCACGACCTCCTCGGCCCCTTCTTCCTCCCTCTCTACCTCCTCCTCCTTCTTCACGAGCCCGCTGGACAACTGCGCGCGGATTCCTCTTAACCCGACCACCCACCGGAGTGTAGACAGGTGGTGGGGGTGGAGGTTGCTGAGGTGGACCAGAAGCGTGGTAGAAAGTCGATGATGTATGTTGTTGTTGCGGGGTCTGATACTGAGTAGTTTGTTGCTGATGGTGGAACTGAGGGGTGGCTTGGGTGAACATGTCATGCTCCTGAGTCGGGGCATAGCTTGACGACCCTCCGGTTCCCTCAGTACTAGTAGCCCACTCACAATGTGGCCATGGTTGAGGAAGTTGAGTTTGCTGAGACGGACGAAGCTCTTCAATGTGTTCTCTCACCCTTCTTCTGCTCCTCCGTGGGGGATCTTGTGGGGGCACAATCCTCTCATCAGCACGGAATGAAGGTCGGGCCGGAGCAGGCACTGGAGGGTATAATATGACATCCCTCCTTTGCTCTCTGGTACAACAGAGCAAGTTGTTGAAAAGCCTGCGCAAAAAAGATGTCTTCCGCTCATCCATGGTGGGTGCACTCTCGACGGTGTGCTTCGCATGCTCCAAACCGTCAACCTAATAAATTGTTGTACAAAATTAACTAATAGTAAATCTATTAATGATTTCTTTCATCTAATATAGGCATGTAATCATACTACAAAAATTAACTAACATTAAATCTATCATCTAATATAGGCATGTAATCATACTACAAAAATTAACTAACATTAAATCTAATAATGTTAATTAACATTCTAGCTAATATAGGCATGTAATCATACTCCAAAAATTAACTAACATTAAATCTAATATAGATAATTAACATTCTAGCTAATATAGGCATGTAATCATACTCCAAAAATTAACATTCATTAAATCTAATAATGTTAATTAACATTCTAGCTAATATAGGCATGTAATTATACTACAAAAATTAACTAAAATAAGCCAAAATGGAATTCACTTACCACTGCGCCCCAAACAGCACCTTGCTTTGACACCCATCTTAGCGTGAAGTTCCGATACCACCGCATGTAGCCATCGTGGTACCCCATTGGCCTTGTCTCCGGCGCCCCTTGGACCACCCACTGATTTCTATTCTCCAATATGTTGATGTAGAATTCATGCTTGCGGGTCCAATCCTTTTTGTTGTAGCGTAGGTCAATGGCGTGGAGCTCCCTGAACCCTTGAGGTGGGGATGCTGGAATTGGTTGCTCCAATCGATATTGCCTCAAAGATCGATCGGGCAGGTGCCACTCCACCATGTGCCAGCAGATTAAGGGCACCTTGCACAACCATGTCTTTTGATCCTCGGGATGTCTAAGACGATGCAACTCAACCACTTCATTTGGATATGGATCCCATACCGCCTACAATCATTAAAATTCATGGAATTAGTAAAAATTATATCCACTCCACCTAATAAATTGAAAATCATGACATTCAATATTTTTACCTGGTTCCACCAAGGCTTATCAAATTCAGCACGATAAAACAGTAAAGAGTGCTCGGGCTGGTGGTCGTTTGTATTTGCTCCGATCCACCTAATTAAGCAAAAGTACATATAAGCAATTTTTAAATTAGCTAAATGCGATTTGGTTAGAATAAATCCAAATTCACTTACTTGGAAGATATCTAAATTCACTAAAATACTAGAATTGCAGACCTAAAATGTCTCTAAATCCGCTTAGTTGGAAGATAGCTAAGTTCACTAAAATACTATAATTGCATACTTAAAATTGCATACTAAGTTCACTAAGTTCACTAAAATCTAAATTCACCTAACTAGCTACCATTGCATATCTAAAATAAATTCAACTTAAATTGAACTTACTTGAAACCATATGGGGGATTTGCTACAAATCGTAGCTCATCATTTGGCAACCAGAATTCCCGAGGGTCTCGAGGTGCGAGAAACGGAAGATGCTCCCATGCCCAGAGCTGGAGTATGAACATCGCACCACCAGCTTGTTTCGCTCCCAACTTCGAGCAAGTACACAACTCGCGGTAGATCCCAGCCAAGACGGCCGACCCCCAGCTTTTTTGCCCGATCTCGTCCCAGTCACCGAGGAGCATATTTAACCACATGCCTTGTATCCACCGGTTTGACTTGTCGGGGAACAGAAACCCACCAACCAAGGCAATTAGGTAGACACGTGCATACCGCTCCACCTGATCTTCAGGAGTATCCGGGCCTATATTAACCTCCATCTGGATGTGGTCAACAAGCCACGGGATCGATACTTGCCCCGCATTCAGTGGTGGATGCCCCTGACCTTCGACGGGCGTGGTGGTCGGCATGTTGAACCCCAGACGTTCCTGAATCAATGGCCCCCAACCATCTTCTGGTTTTCTCGAGTTGTAGATGATGGCATCTCCGTTGATCGGGAGCCCGGTGAGGATGGCAACATCTTTGAGGGTGATCGTCATTTCACCCTCGGGAAAGTGGAAGGTATGAAGCTCAGGGCGCCATCGCTCTGCCATTGCCGTCAGCAGATCGTTGTCAATATCAAGCCTCATAAAGTGCCTCAAAATGTGCAATCCCGCCCTCTCTAGATAGGGATGCAGTCGAGGATGCCAACGGGGCAATCGACATGTACCTCGATGACTGATGGGAATAAGTGATTCCTACAAAACAAAAAACACAATATTGTCAGTCAATAGAAAGCAAAATAAAAACTTAGAAAGCAAAATAAAAACTTTAAAACTATTGAAATAATTTTAGTGTGTCTACCGGATTATTGTTCCAAATTGAACGAGAGCGATGTTGATCTTGCCCGGTTAAATACTTTCGATCCCTTGGGCCAGGATCGATATACAATCTAGGGTCGTATATCTCAGCACCCATCTATAAAAAAATATGAAATCAAATCAATTTAAATTTTAGCACCCATGTAAAAAAAAATCACAAAAGAATTAAATAAATTTACGTACTCTCAAAGCCTCTTCGTCCATTTTTTGCCGAAAAGCTAGCGAGAGTATCGACAAAACAACAAAACAAAAACTCTAGTAATTCTTTCTGATGCGGAAGATCGGACTTAGCCGCAACCACAGAGCATACTTAGAACGAAACTAGAGTGAAAAATGGAGGGAGAAAGAAGTATAAAGTGGTGGTGTGGTTTGGAATGAGGGGGGGATGGGTATTTATAGTGTTTGGGGCTGGGAAAAGACCTGGCCAGTTATCACCGCCCCAAACAAACACACTGCCATCACTGCGTCCAACAAAGGCGGTGATGGTCACGGATCGCTGACGTGGCGGCTCCTGATGCGTCGGATTGTGGAGAAAAACCACAATCCGCGCATAACTGCATCGGACGGCAGCGGTGAAGGCGCGGGGTGGGGTGCGGATCGCTGACGTGGAAAGCGGGGCTATCACCGCTTTGGTCTTCAGCGGTGAAGTGCCCCCGCGCGTCCACGTCAGCGATCCGCGCCACTTCACCGCTGTTGGATCCAACGGTGAAGGCTTCACTGCCTCTCTCATCAACGGTCATGCCATCACTGTCGTCCTTGACAGCGGTGATGGCATCACTGCTTTGGTCTAAAGCGGTGATAACATCACTGCTTTTGTCTAAAGCGGTGATGTATCATCGTTTTAGACCAAAACGGTGATCAACATCACTGTCTTAGACAAAGACAGTGATGTTGAAACTGTGAAACTGATGTACTTTGGGAATTACTTTTATAAGTACTGTATTTTGGTAATTATTTTTAATAATTGGTGTATTCTGTGATTTTTTCTTGAAGACAGTGTATGTCGGTGACTCGGCCTGAAAGGTAAGGTATGATTCTTGCCATGCATATCGGAGTTGAGGGCTCGATTTGACTGTATAGGGTTCTAAATGTTTTCCCCCTGATTTCTAGAGGTATCTCGACCGTAGAAGAGAAGATGGAAAAAAATTGGCGGTGGAGGTCAGATTGATGCGTGTTTTTTCTATGATTTCCTTAGATTTTATGGATTTGGCGGATTCTAACTTCTCTCGCCTTTATCTATGTTTATATTTTTTAATTTCTGGGGCTTTCATGAGGCGAAAGGAGTTGTTGATATTTTTGATGCACTGCTCGCTTCGGTGGTGATGGCCAAGGTGAGAGAACCAATGAGATCGGTTGCCTTTGTTAAGCTTTCAACGAGTGGTGACAACGGTTGTGGATTTTGTTTAATATGATTTGGTCTTCAGTAGATATAATAATTTCATGTACGAAGGATCGGAAATCATATTATTCATGATAAATAAGTGTTATTAGTAAATATAATATTTTCGATGATGTGTTGGAAAAGCTTATTGTTTACGATAAACAGTTTTCCTCAGAAAATAAAATTTAGCCGACGACATGTTGGAAAAAATGTAGTTTCCACAAAACTTTGTTTGCATCAATATGAATAATATGTCTTACTGTTCGTCGAGAATAATATATTATTGACGCCCTAAACACCTCATAAATGTTTGTACAACGTATAAAAAAAAGGCCTCAAATTCTCGTCACAAATATTTATTTTTGATGAATTTTGGACATTAGTATAAATAGTATCTATGATGGCTAGTCAGAGCTTGTTGATTACTTACGAATATAATTCGTCAAAAATAAATAAATTTGCCACCGAAACAAAAATTCGTCAAATTCATCCGTCATGAGTGATTTTAGTTGTGACGTCATTTTTTTAAATTACTAACAATTTTATGTCGTCGATAATATTTTGGTTTCGACGCCTGGTCAATAATATTTTTTTAGCGACGGGACAATTTCTGACGACTGTATGTTGTCGAAAAATGTCATTTTCGACGCAAATTGATTAATTTCGACGAAAAACATGTCGTCGGTAATGACTCCCGTTTTTGTAGTGCTATTAAGATGGATATGAAATCAAACTATCTGTTTTTTCTGCGGTAGAAGTAAAAGTGTGATTCTGTTAAATGATTTGTTGCAGGCTTATAATGTATTCCCCTAATCCCTCATTTGCATCCAGGGGCGGACCCAGGGAGGATTGGGGGTGTCCCCGGACACCCCTAAAATCTCGGAGAAAATTTATCGAACCACCGGGAGTAGTTTGAGCCTAGGAAAAAAAGGAAAAAAATATAGTGGCTTATGGGATTTGAACCTGGGACACCCTAGCTACTAGCTAACATGTTTTCCATCACACTACAACTCATATATTGGTATATTTTTAAGATACTGATACTTATAAACATATTAATTTTATCCACAATTTGACAATAAAACCCTAAAACTAAACACGACTCAGAATCAACTTCGCAAAAAATAGACTCTGCGTGCTGGGCTGCAGGCAGCTTCCATCAATCTCCTTTTATCCGGCGACGCCCTCCTCCGCTGGCCTCCTCCTCCCCGTCGGCCTCGTCCTTGTTAATTCACATTGGTAAGCATCAGTACGCCATTCTAATTCCCCCAATCTCCTTTGCCACTCTGCAGCCTGCACAAAAAATTTCTGCAGTCTCATAACACCCACGAAAGAGGGGAACAAACGTCGAACCAAAAAAATTACCCACCTCTCTTTGCTATGTTTTCTGATTCCATCCCTTTCGATGTTATGTATAGGTTTCTGGGAATATTGAAAGCATCTGTAGTTGCCTTGCCTTGATTCCCTAGTTGAGATTGTGGGGTGAAACAACACTAGTTTGTGTGAATTCCAATCTAATTTGGGGAATCATAACTTTTGGGTGGGAAAGGTAGCGGTAGTTTTACAGTGGAATTTCAATTCTAATTTTATGTACATTCTATGCTAGATCAGGTACCAATGGAAAGATACTACTCAAGACAGGTCCAATCTACTCCTAATGTTCAAACTGAAGGTGTTGAAGCTAGTGGGAGTAGACAAGCTCAAACCTTTCCTCCGTCGTCGACAGTGGGAGCTCCTCAAATACAAGAACCAAATCTTTCAGGTTCAGTCAATCGAACTCCAGAAGAAAGTGAGTCTTTCTCAGCAGAGTCTGATAGAGAGTTTGATGAAAACTCTTTGGTGCTAGATCCGGCATTAAGAACTAAGATATCTAGTTTTCATCCCAATGTCCGTGACCAGGTTAGAAGATTTTATCTTCAAAAAGGTCCTATTCAACCAAAGAGTCATTCTTTTCCCGCCAGAAACTTCAGTGGAAGGTAGCTTAGATTCCAGGCCTCTTGGTTTAAGAAGTATAATTGGCTTGAATATAGTGTCTCAAAAGATGCTGCTTATTGTCTATATTGCTATGTGTTCAGTAAGCGAGGTGGGAGTAATGATGGCTTTATTGGTTAAATTGAAAGCTTTTGATGATCATGTTGGGGAGCATAACAGCTACCACAATAGAGCTAAAAACAGTTCAGATCTTTTATTGAAGCAAGCAAGAGGAATTGAAGCTGCATTATTTAGACGATCAGATCAAGCCAAAAGAGATTATCGAATTCGTTTTTGTTGCTTCACTTGATTGCATAAGGTGGCTAGTAGTGAATGGATTATCATTTCGATGGCATGATGAATCTGAAACTTCAACTAACAGAGGTAACTTTCTTCAGCTATTAGATTTCCATGCTCTTGGTAGAGAAGATGTGCAAAGAGTAGTTGGGAGGAATGCTCCAAAGAATCTCCAACTCACCTCTCCAAAGATTCAAAGAGATCTTATTCATGCCATGGCTTGTGAAACGACTAAGAAAATCATTGCAGAGATTGGGAATAATTTTTTCTGCATATTGGTTGATGAGACTCGTGATATATCAATGAAAGAGCAGATGGCTATTGTTTTGCGTTATGTGAATTCTGATGGTTGTGTTATGGAAAGATTTATTTGTACTTCTTATGTGCGAAATACTAAAGCTTTGACATTGAAGAAGGAAATCGAAGCAATGCTTTTGAAACATGGATTGAGCATGTCAATGATAAGGGGACAAGGCTATGATGGAGCTAGCAACATGAAAGGGGAAATAAATGGTTTGAAGACCTTGATGTTGGCTGAAAATTCTTCGGCATATTACATTCACTGCTTTGCTCATCAACTTCAATTAGCATTGTTGCGGTAGCAGAAAATCACAAAGAAGTTGGTGACTTTTTCACAACAGTCAATAGTGTGACTAGTTTGGTTGCAGGATCTTGCAAACGAGCTGACATGGTTCGAGATAGCGAAACTAGGAAGCTTGTGGAGGCTATAGCTGCTAATGAACAAGAAACTAGACAAGGACTGTATCAAGAAATGAGTCTCAAAAGGCCAGGTGATACTCGTTGGGGTTCTTATTATGGTGCACTTCTCAATTTTGAGCACTTGTTCTCTACTATTATTAATGTGTTGGAGAGAATCGAGGATGATCCAACTACAGAACCAAAAACAGCGAGTCATGCATGGCAGATGTTGATTACAATTCAAGACTTCAGGTTTGTCTTCATTTTGAAGTTGATGATTGAAGTGTTAGCAATTACGAATGAGTTGTCACTAGCATTGCAAAGGAGAGATCAAGACATGGTAAATGGTATGAAACTTGTTCGTGTGGGAAAAACTAGATTACAAGAGATGAGAGATCGAGGATGGGAGTCTCTACTTGAGGATGATATCTTGTTTTGCACTAAGAATCTGTTCATGTTCTTGGCATGGATGATGAGTATGTTCTTCCAGGACGGTCAAGGCGCAAGGCTCCACAGATCACAAACTTGCATCACTATCAGGTTGAATTGGATTACTCTATTCTTGATATGCAGCTGGAAGAGTTGAACAACCATTTTGATGAGGTGAATACTAGGTTGTTGACTTGTATGGTTTCTCTTAGCCCGAAGAATGAGTTTGCTGCTTTTGACAGGTAGAAGCTGGTTAGTCTTACTCGATTTTATCTTACAGAGTTTGGTCATCTTTCTGACTCTTTTCTTCTAAGGGACTTTGAGAATTACTATCATTCTGTGAAGAATGATGAGTTATTCCATGGATTAAAAGGAATTGATGAATTGTGTCAGCTGATGGTGAAGACAAAAGTGAATCTATCATATCCATGGGTATATTTGCTTCTCAAAGTTGTATTGACTTTACCGGTTGCAACTGCAAGTGTTGAAAGAGTTTTTTCAGCTTTGAGTTACATCAAGAACAAGCTTCGGAATCGACTAGGCGATCAGTTTGTGAATGATTGTCTCGTAGGATATATTGAAAGAGAATTGCTGAATACTGTAGACACGGAGTGTATTTTAGAATATTTTCAGAATATGAAAACATGACGTGGAAATTTGTTGTAACTTGTATTAACCAAATATTTGTGTTGTTGAATATTATTCGGATACTTTTCTTATTTAAGAATTATTTTATTTTATTTTTAATTTTATTTTGGAAGCGGACAGCCCTACTCAAAATTCCTGGGTCCGCCACTGTTTGCATCACCCTTAGATCAAACTATATTATGGTTCATGCAGAATAATACAATGAAAATTTCCATGACATAGGCACCAACATACAGGGAAAACCAGTGCTGGCAAAACTGAGTTCCAGGCTTTGAGCTGTTGTGTTTAATAGTGTGACCTGTTGGAATTAATCGATATATGTAATTCCCCGGAACACATCTCGTTAGATTATCAAAGGTTTGTAGAAATACCTGGAACCGTGTTGTTGATCGCCAAGAGCTACACGCGGAATCTGGAAGACGATCTACAGCCGGACGATACTTCTTGGAGCACGATCCGGGAGGTTTTGTGATCTTCCTCAACCAAGCCTCCTTAGACCACTAACGGGAATCCTCTTATCTTCCTGATGGGGAGAAGAAGAGAGTGTTTCATCTTGGTGTATTGGGAACCACAACCTCAAGCTCCTTTATATACTAGTCATCATGGGCTCCCATAAGACCCAAGGTGAACAAGTATTGGGTTTCCACCCATTTAGGCCCATATCAATACAAAACATCTTTGGGCTCCCGATTTGGATCACTTACAATTAGCCCACTAAAACAAATAGCTTTACAATTGTCAAATATGTGGCCCATAACATTATAGGAAATAGAATTTCCTAACAATCTCCCACTTGGGCTACATATTTTTTCTTCTTGAAACAATTATACCACAAATTCTTTAGGCGCGCAACCGTATGCTATTTGTACTTAGACATCTCCTAAAACAATCTGGTCCACCTCATGTATCAATTATAGAACCAACGCGGCTTTAATCACAATATGATAATGACTTAACCACCATGATCACCATACCAATACACTCGATGACATAGATCAAATATGGATGAGTGGCATGAAAATTACATGCAATGTGATCTTGTGCATGCCTATTTTCAACTGGTCCTACTTTAGTTCTTAGTGAGATCAACTTAAAATTCCTTCATACAGTGTGACCACTGTATAACTGAAGGGACTTTAAATTCCAAAATAGACTCTAGAAAACCATCACTTTATTCTAAAGAATTGATTTAGTCATAATCTATTGAACTACTTAAATGACTCCCACTAAACCAAGGTACTATCCGGAATAACACTCATGAGAGCAATATACTCATGGAAAAACTTTATGTGTTAAACCATTGGCTAATGGATAAGCTAGCATTAGTCATTTCCTTAATGTTCAATAGAAACTTGTCTATTTTAAACTTTATCTTTAACCACCAGGAACTTGATGTCAATATATTTGACTTCTGAAATCCATGGTAATGATAGTGTATCACTATCAAATTATTGTCACTGTTAACCTTTAATAACTTATCAATGTCATTCTAGTGACAAAAACTTTGCAACCATAATAGGAAGTCTCAAGATATGCTTTAAACTCTACCCAACAATGAAGGGTAACCTGATGTAGAGTTTATGCTACCTTGACATCCTGTAACATCAGAGTCAGAGTACTTGATGATCTCTAAATTATCTGATCTCTAACAAATTTGCATGAATTCTTTTATCAACTTTAGTAAACGCGTTACACGTTTGAATCCTTCTAGTGTTTCATGCATAGCCCAATCAAATATATGCCAAAGACTCTTACTAGAAATGCTTTATTGGGATGAGAATAAACTAAAGTATACATTAGATCTTTAATGCAAATATGCATTCAAGAGATTTTGTATCTTAATTTTTTATATATAATCGGGGCACTGATTGAGACCAAAACTGTCTCCCTAAGCTACAACACATCTCCTGGTTTACTAACTTATTCTACTTGCACCTTAAGTAGAACAACCATGATGTATAAAACAGGAAAATGAATTTACTCCCACTGAACTTAAGATATACACAATCTTCTCCAACATTAGTCTCTAAATCTGAATGAGCTAATAACATGAGAATCATTGTGATATAAATAATGAGATACTTATATGAGCCACCATTGCCATTATATTCCTTAAAGAGTCTTTCAAATATACCAGAGAGAAAGTCTCTTTGAGCCAGCACTTTCCTTATTAGTAAAGCATTAGAGACCAACATGCCTTATATCTCTCATTGACTTCACCACATGGCATCAATCCACTTTTCATAACTGTTCATGACTTGACTAAAATTGAATCATTAGTCAACCTGATGTCATGTATATATTCTTTGAAGAACAACGATATTGTTAGCTAGAATCGTCCATCTTCTACTTTGTGGATATACTTAATGGCACTTCTTGAGTGTGTTGAGTTTGTGTGGTAACAATACTCCTTATGTTTCCTTCCCCCCAAAACTCAAAATACTCAAGAAATCTCACATTTCTCTTTTAAAAAACTTCTTGAGGTGGGATTATAAAACTTGTAGCCTCGAGAGTACTATTGAGTAGCCAACAAAGTATAAGTTAATTCTTTTGTCCATTATACCTTCTTGTACCTTACAAGGTATTTCCTAAGTTGGACAACCCTAAATGTGCAAGGTCCTTATTGCACTTATTGGTTACATTAACTACCTTCTGGATACTCAATTTAAGGATGTACGTTGTAACCTTTATGGCTTTTATCCAAATGGAGTCTAGTAAGTAGAAATACTCATCGCCATGTCCTTAAGAGTTCAACGAAACCATAACATCCTTAACTCTCTATTAGTTCCTTTACTGAGAATTTGAGGTTTAGTAATTGAGTTCAGTCTTATCTCGTATCTTCCCTCCTCTTCTTTTGTGAGTATTAGTACTCACCTAAAACTTCATTGAGGAAGATAAATTAAACTAAGTGTTGAGTATGTCTTTTGACAACTCCAACTTTAGTCACTTGATTTTAATGCAAAATAAGAGACCTCCAAAATATAATACACTTGTACATTTTGCCTTTACACTTTATGGATTAAATTACCCAAATAGGCAGCTTACCCCGGATCCTGTTATGTTTTGGCAAAATACTGTATTATTACTTCAATAAACCTCAGAGGCATCTCAGTATAATAGCCCCATAATTATTCATCGAATAGAGCGCTTAATGATCATCATGCACACTGAACCAGATATATATCTATTCGCTATTATTAAATCTCATTGAGATTTTCCGAAGTAGAATAGGGATTGTTCCACATAAAAGCGCAAGATTAATGCCTATATATCGAGAATAATTGTCTTGAATTTACTTTAAATTCTTGAGATTCGTCCCATTTAACATAAGAGTTAACTTTAATTTCGACATAAATGTTTAAACCAAAGCACGAAAAACTATATTGAGATAAAAGAAAACACACATCAAGCCATGTAATTAAACAAGACAAGAACTTTATCCAATTTTGGGGAACCCATCATAAGATACCAAATGCAACATTAATTCTTAGTCTTTGGACAGAGAAATTAACTGCGAGCGGTACTCTTAATACAATGATCAAATACTGATAATAAGTTCTGTCAAACAACAGTCTATCTTTGGACCGACTGTTATTCACATGAACAACAACTTTATAATTATCACGTATTTAACATTAATGTGCTTGATTATTTTGGTCAAATAATGTCGTCCTTTGGGTCGAGCACTACCCACATAAAATAACCTTACACTTACATCCATGTAATCTAAGTTAAATAATTTTTCGCAAGTAGAGGTTGTTTTGGCAACATACTGCTAAAATTAATTTAATTAAAATACCGGACAATTCTCTCATAATCACAAAAT